TTCTTTTCTTTTCTTTTCTTTTCTTTTCTTTTCTTTTCTTTTCTTTTCTTTTCTTTTCTTTTCTTTTCTTTTCTTTTCTTTTCTTTTCTTTTCTTTTCTTTTCTTTTCTTTTCTTTTCTTTTCTTTTCTTTTCTTTTCTTTTCTACTGTCTCCATAGGGGGTTGAGCTCCGCTCCTCCAGCAGACCACAAGCGCCCGTTATTTTGCGCAGGTGTTAACGCCAGTCCTCCCCACCAACCCTGTGGAAGTAAATGAGCTCTGGAACTCGGAGCTTGGGGGTGTGGGGGGGGAGCACTATGTGATTTGCGAAACGCCATCTAGTTAAGAAATCCTTGGCTCTGAAAGAAGGTGCCCAACACCTTCAAGTAACACGGAATAAACGCATCATTTTCCCGTGTAGATGCTGTGTTGGCAATCCAAGCAAGGGTACGGTCACGATGTTAAAGCATATAATAAGAAAGGCAGCGCGCTCGTTGTGTTCAGCGCTGGAACATTGCTTCGCCTTGCTTTGAGTGAGTGCTGACTTGCATACCGCTTGTGAATCCGTGATGGTCAAACCGCAGGTCACAGCAATTAACTGACTTGAGGCAGGATGCGGATGAGGAATGTTAAAAGGGAAATGATGTGACCTCGGTTAATAAATTTCACCGATTCCCCCAAATGAGACTGTAAGGTTCATGAAAATACCAGAGATGCACAGCAGTTTCCCTACTGAAATGGGAGCTATGTAAGATTTTCACCCTTCTGACCACAAGAACGACAGACGCTTGAAAAATCATGGTTGAACGCTTAGGTAAAGCATACTGAAAATCCACATCTGGTCAGCGGTCCTAACGCTGCCGTGAGTAAAGTATGGGGGTAGTGATAGGTTGGATTGCTCTACAGAATCTCCAATGGAGTTTGAACATTTACAGCTTCTAGGGACAGGAGTTTCAGAAGTAGAGGGAAGATTGTATTTCATAAACTAATGTGCGATGTAACAGAGCGCAGTCTTGAGCATTTTTTGGAAGGTTTATGATATTCTGTTGTACACAGCAAGGGAACCATATCTGTGCAAACTACAGAACTTGCCTTTAAGCAAAGATAGGGTCAGATGGGCCCTGGCCACCTTTTTTGTAGCAGCCGGTCTACTTCTTGTCTACTGACTTGGGGGATCAGTATGGTACATATCTACAAAAACCCTCCACAAAACCCAAGGTATAATTTTCCCTGCATTTTCCCCCTCCCTCCCCCCCATCCCCCCCCCCCCCCCCCCCGGGCTTGACAGCACTGCTGTTATTACACCTTTTGGTTTTCTTCTTTTTTGTCACGGAGATTTGGGTGTACGAGGTAGTTTTGCATTACATAAACGTCCAGTTCATTTAGTGGGAGAGGCAGGACAGGGTACCGTTACCCTTAGAAAACTATTAAGTAACACCACTTTTCCCTGCTGTAATTTTTGCCAACTGATCGTGGACTCCCACAGTCTCGTGGAAAAGAAACACCTGTTTTCTGTGCCGTCAAAAGCTGCATGGCTCCTTTCGGGTACCTCTTTATTAACTTTGCTGTGGCTGGCAGAATTAGGCTCTGAAACCCTGCGGAGCGGAGCGGTGGCTGGTGACAACTACTCATCAGCAGAGATCTGATGGCTAGCAGGTTTCCTTGCTCTGAGAGTCCACCCGCAATCTATTTATGATTCCAACAGATGTTTCTTCTGGTTTAGGCCAGTGGAAAACCTTCTGGTCTCTATTTATAACCCAAACTTTACAGCCTTCCCCAATTTACGCCCTTCCTCTCTCCCATCTCCTCCTCCTCCTTGTGAGGGTAAAGGAAAAAAAAAACCCGAACCTTGTCCACGCTCCGTTAGTCGCATATCAAAACTTCTGCTTCATACCTTCAGCGTTGTCCTCACTAAATCAAAGGCTTAGCGGCGGTGTTAAGCGTGTAATGAAAGAATGTGGTGTGTTCTTAACTGTCTTTGTTTTAGCTTGCTGTTAGGTGAACACCTAACCCTGCACCCCCAAGGCCCCCCCCGGCCCCCCCCCCCCCCTCCCCCCAGATAAGCTCGAGCCTTGCAAAGGGACGCTTAAGCGGGTATTTAGTGGGGTCCAGCCAGCAGCAGAAAGACATCAAAGGTAATCTTAAAGAAGGAACCTTTCTTTGCGGCTTTGTCTTTTCATATTCTGAAAGGTCAGTTGCGAACCAACTGTGCCAAAAAAGGCCTTTCCCCAGAAGTTTACTGTTGTTATTTTTTACTTTTTGATTACAGTAACTTGCTTATCCCCCCAACAGACTAAAGAACAATAAACAAATACAAAAGGAAAAGGAACAGCTCATCAGTAACAAAGACCCGCGTTTTAAAGCTTTGAGTGCGCTGGCTCTTACATCTCACTCCAAGCAAAGCAGGAGTCCTGCAGAGAAAGGAATCTAAAAGATATGAAAATTATAAAGATAGTAAAAACAATGTTTGGTAGGGATATTTTAACTTGGCGGGGAGAACTGAGCCTTAAAGCGCAGCGTACTGAGGAACGTGGTTTTTTTCCCCCACTGCTGTACATCGTGGAGTACGTAGGGAATTCTGTATTTCAGTCCCTGCCGTATACTGTAACCTAGATGACTGCAGAAGGTCTCGCCTTCAGTTCAAGTTTAAATTTTGAAACTGGGCAGCTCGGAAGTGTCATATGTGGCTTAAAAACCTAAATGGCATCTAAACCTAATCCTTTGAAATTATATCCGCGTAGCCTCTTGCAAGAGGTGACAATGCAGTCCACAAATCTAACTTATTCCTGTGTTCTTCCTTTTTTTTTCCTTTTCTTTTTTTTTTTATTTTCAAACTCTGAGTACAAAGACGACACTAACCACGGATACTGAAACTGTGCAATTTGGTGTAATTATATTCCCCCCCATAGATTTAATGAAGGACTTTTAAGTACAATTTATCTTTGATAAATAGTCCCTCTGCACAGAATGTTTATTAGATTGACAGCAGAATACACTCTGCAAGCTTTTTTTCCGTGCCACTTATGACTCAGATGAATTTTAATAGGAGTAAAAAGCTTTTATTTGCACAGTAATTTCACTTAAGGATCATATCCTTCAGAAGCTGGCAGACACTTGTATGTCTTGATTGCAAAACAGACACTCAAGAGTAAAGAAACATGCATAAGATGTTATTATTTGACTTGTCACACTGCTGCAATTCTATTTGCAACTTATGTCATCAAATCTCCTCCCGGCATCACCTCCCCTCTCCCTACAGCGTGCATGCAAGCGTGCATACGTGCGCGCAGATGAATGCGCACACGCGCTTTACTTTCCGGGGGGAAAAAAAAAAAAAAGGGCAACTGGAAGGAGCACACCGCGTCGGGTGCGGTTGCTTGCGCAGGGAGAGCACGGGCTGTATTTTGGGTTGGAGAATGTGAGTGCCAGGGTCCCTAATTGTCCTGATGATGCCTGCGGGAGGCTCGGAGTTAAAGTGGCTTTTGGCAGACAAAATGGTGCTGGTTTCCCTGTGCTGCGTCCATTGTAACCGAGGCACCATGTTTGGGAATGGGTTCTCAAGTCTTTGGGTGTCACTCACAGCTTCCGGGAACAGTGTTGAGGCATTTTATTATATTTAGTGGGGTGGTGGTGGGGGATCGGTTCATTTAACTGTTTGCTTGTATTTCTGATTAGAAGCAAGTATTTCTAACTGGATGGCTGCACCGTTCGTTGCACGTAATCTTGTCTGTCCAAACACGGTTCGTTTATCGAGGACGATCACCCTCTGTTATGTTGTTTTAATTTGGCTTTGAAAGCTGCTTTTTAAAGATGCTATTGCAGAGTTAATAGCCTTTTGCATGTATTTCTAAATACCTTGTCCTACTCTCTACAGAAGCAGAAGGCAGAGTCCCCCTTTACCTTCACCATAAGGGTATCGGATTTTTTCTGTCTCTGTAAAAATGAAAAGTAAAGACATTTTATTGCTAATAAAACAATAGCTAATTGTTTTGGAGGAAAACATACTGTTCAAAGCAAGGTGTTGAACTTTACATCAGCAAAATGCACATTTGAATTGTAAATGCAGTTCATCCGATGCTTATTATTAAAACCTTTGTTTAAATTATCGATGAAGTGTGGTGCTGGGTTTCGCTCAGTTGGCCTTGGCGAGGCAGGGGTTTCACGCAGAGACCTGCTGCCATCTACTGGCTTTTTGCATTCATTTTTCAAGTGCACTGGGACAAATGTGAAGGCCATCTGTCTCAAAGCAATGAATTAGCTGTCAAAGCGATCCCAAGTTTTTCCCAACTAAAAGCCTGGGGCTGAAATTAGTGTCTACACACTTATAAGTTTTCCGAAAGGTTTTGTTTAAAGGGATGGTTCTCAGACACTTGAGGTTCATCATCTTCTTTTCCATTTCCAATTGCTGTAAAACATGCTAGAGAAAACATTCTTCCCTTCTCAAGGTAGGTAACAGCTGCTGAACAGCTTTTATGGCAGATAAAATGTATTCAGATGATCTATTTCCAAAATGTTCCATTGCTTCACCTGGACCCGAAAAAATGGAAACAAAATTGTTTGATATCTTCTAATTGCAAAAGCTAAACAGGTTATTCACTTCAAACATTAAATACATGATACAAATACATGTTTAAAAAGTAAAAGCAATGTTTAAAATGAATCATGTCGTTGAAAGGCTGGCAGACTTTCCCAAAAGGTGAGTTTCTAATTTAGCACAGCACTGGAAACGAATGCCTCAATATTCCTTATCCGCTAAAAATAACGTGCAGTAAGCATAAGGGTATTTCTGGTTTTTAAAAATTTGTATCTGCCCTCTCTACCCCCAATTTTTAAATTAACCTGACATTTCTTTGCTTGATTCTCTCCTTTTACGTGCTCATTACTGCGGTTTGGGATTGCATATTTTTCTTTCTGCGTTGTGGAAATGAAACTCTGAATACAGATTTCAGAGAGTGACTTTTTAGACCCTCCCGTGAAGAATAAATAACAGATGTATTATATAAAAAACACGCCACAAAACAGTGCAGGTTACTGACTGGACTTCACCAAGGTGCAGTTTTCTAAAACGTTCCCCTTCCTATTCTTTAGTACAAATTGCAAATACTGACGAAGGTTGCTGCAGAGCTGAGCAAGTACATGCCAGAGAAAGCAGCAGAGGACACCTCCAGCATTTTGAGATCTCCCATGCCTGGAGCAGTGGTGGCAGTTTCTGTCAAGCCCGGGGACACGGTAAGAAATGTGATCTATGTATCTGCATTTTCATTATCTATTCCACACAAATTTCTCCTTGGTGCAACTGAAACTACAGGTCACAGGTTGGGTTTGGTTTTTTTTTTTTTTATGTTACCTGTAGAATAAAGCGTGCTGAAGGGTGCGTGCTGCTTTTTCATTTGAATTAGAAAAACTAATAAGGAAGCACAATTCAAATTAAACTGGCTTTAAAAGGAAAATTTTCGGCTGGGTACAAATCCACAGCTGAAACTCAACAAAGAGCTTGGTTTTGTATCACAAATGCCTTGGCAGGGGGAAAAAATGTGTGTCTGTATATGTGCATGTAAATATATGTAAGTATATATGTGCTGTTAGTGCTAGCAGGAAGGGATTGTTGATTTTCTGCCCTGAAGCAATGAAAATATTACTAGGAACACAGGATAGATATTTAACTTCCTTTTCCTTCATCGCTCCCCCCCCCCTTTTTTTTTTTGTTAAGAATCCCCGTGTTAGCGTTTCGCAAGACACATGAATTTCCTGAACTCCCAGCATGGAATTCCGTGTCTCTTACGGGAATCCTCTTGTCCTGCAGAAGGAATAAACTTGACGTACAGAAGGGCAGCAGAACGTGCTGTTGCTGTCCTGAGGATTTCCAGTGCTGGTTACCTCAACGTTGAGCTGGAAACAAATGCAAATACAGCGTTTTAGAGTTCCGTATGAACACCTCCTTGAACTCAGCTTTATGTGAAGTTCTGCCAGGTTGTATCCTAGGTCATTTCTAAGGTCAGGGCCCTTATCTCTCATAACCACTGCAAGCAGTAGAAGGATGCAGACAGAGGAATATTTGAATCAGCTTGTGCAGGTTAATTTAAGTACTGTTGTCAGTTAAATGATGCCATAAACGTGTATGTGACACTTAGATACAAACAGAACGCTTTAGTTGCAAAGTTCATAATTTATGGCAATGAAACCGAGATTTTCTTGAGAGACGATGTAGAAATGGGACCAGGATTACAAGTCCAAAATTAGCACTGCACTTACTGTGTGACGGTCATCCGTCCTGCTGGTAAAGCGATCTGTGTGCTTACATTTTTCTATGACGCCATTTTTGGTTTTAGAGTATATGGATATTTCTGTCTATTTACAGAGAGGAGTCATCATTTTAGTATTGAAGATCTATAGGTGCGAATGCTCACATTAATAAAGAGATTTCTGAGAAAACAGAACTAAGTACAGCTGAGTAAAAATTAGCAAGAGAGAAGTTCTTCTAGCTTCTACGCTTAGCTTTCTGGTTTTCTCATCTATACATTGTATGCACTGTTTATAACTTTAAAAATAGCAGCATTCAAATAAAATTAATCACTGTGTCATCTCATGGCCAGAGAAATCTGTGATTTCTACGTCTAGGCAGTAAGAGTGGCAGAGTGAGGGAGATCTTAAGCAAATACGTTGTGGTTTTTTTTTTTTTTTTGTGAAGATGAAGGGAAACATTTTTAAGGCGAGGATTTTGAGCCTTTTTAAATTTAAGATTTTTTTTTTTTTTGAGAAGTTAATCCTGCTAAATGTTACCAGCCTTCTTGCCCTGAAGAATAGTTCTTGTTGTCTTGAAGGCATAGAACCAGTGGAGAAGGAGGCTAGAGCCAAAGGGATTTTAAGTAAATAAGTAAATGAACCTCCCTCCACAAATCCACAAGTGGTGCAGTGCATCAGAGCACAAGTTGTTAAATAATGTGCGGAGATTTTTTTTTTTTTTTCTCTTCTCCTCTCCTGCAGCTTTTTGCTGGAGGTGCTGAGTGGCAGAGCATTTGAACGGCATAATCTATGTTCTGCTGACCTGAGCTTGTCAATGCTAATTGTGTGGCTTTAATTGCAAAAACACATTTGCGTTATTGAAAAAGGTTTAACTTAAATCCTCCCTTTTCAGGACTAGTGTCAAAACGTTAAAAAAAAAAAAAAAAAAAAAAAAAGGGGGAGCCGTTGAGCGAGATGAGGGTAGCATCAGCTCTCAGCGCTGAATAAGCAGTGGGGTGGTGTGATTCAGATTACACGTCGTGGCTGTCCGTCAGGAACCAGCTTGCTTCCCTACAGCTGTTCAAGGCCTGATGGGCAGGGAGCTGTAGCTCCCTGATAAATACAGCTCTTTTTGTTGCACTGCTTGGGAAAAGTCTGATTTCTTTAGTCTGCTGGAGAAATGGGAATTTAAGTAGCTCCTATGCTGTGTTCGCAACCGGCTCGCGCAGCTCAAATCTTGCACGGGGTGCAAAACCAGCACAGCTGATAAATGGAAGAGTGTGAGGTAGTTGTCCATCCTTCCGCTCGGGCGTCGCTGCTGCTCGCAATAACGCTGTTATTAGCTGCTCCGAGATTGTTTTCTCCTAACCTGTGGCCCAATGCTTAAATAAACAGTGTTCGTGCAGCGCAGGCGCCGCAGCGGTGCTGCGCTCACGGAGGGACGCTCTCGGAGCGGTCAGCAGCACGGGGAGCCGGGCTGCCGCACCCGCTCCTTCGGGTGTAACTTTACAAAGGGTGAAGAAACTCCCAGAGAGGGACATCCCGTCTCTGTCGGAATGGCCGCGCTTGCAAATTCGTGCTTATTGCCTGCGGTTTAGCTAT